CCGCGTCCGTCCCCTCCCTCCGTGCGCCCGGGTGAGCGAGGCTGCGTGTGTTTGTCCTGCGGCGGCGGCGTTTCCGATGGTGCCGGTGGTGCCGGGGTCGTGCGACTTTGTAGCTGCAGGAGCGATGCGGTCAGCTGCTCCGCTCCTGCAAGTGTTGCCACGCCGGGAGTTAAAGCCGGAGCGTTGCTCTTCTGGAGGGAAATTTGGGAGGGAAACCGAACTGTGACCAACTGCGCGAGAGAGGCGCGTGCGCACGTGTCCCCGAGCGCTGCCCCCTTGTTTACAGCTTCACAGACACGTCCCTTCAGCAAGAAAAACACTTAAAAAAACTGAGCAACGGCAAGTAAACGGCAAAGTTACTGCCGCAGTCGCCTAGAGCACGCGTTTTATGATAGCGCCATAAAAGAAGGAGACCTTTTGGCCTTCGTTCCTGTAGCAACGGCTTAGCTTGGCGCGGACCGCGTGGTGCAAAAGCGCGTTTGTATTTAAGAGTGGAGCATAGATTTTGCAGATGGAAAAGGTGTATGGTCTGTCACCTCTTAAATTGCTTCCTTTAATAGAGTCTTTCATGTGACTTGTCTAGTCTATTACTATTTATTATAGTAATTTCAGACTATTACTATTTACTGTGGTAATTTTACAGAAACACAGACAGGCTGCAGTAGCCGTTAGCGTGGGCCTGTGGAGAGATGGCAGTTTAGAAGACAAAGAAAATGCTGGTCTGAGAAGCCCGGAGAAAAGAGTCATTTCAGACATCCCTAGTTCCCACCTCATCTGTCAATAACTGTTCCATTTTTTCGGCTTGGTTTCCTAAGGAAATGAGGCTTATGGATCATGCTGGCTGTGCATGTTCCTGTCAGTCTTTCCCTTAATAAAATTTTTAACCTGTTGACCGATTTCAAGCAGAGTTAGGGGCAAACAGCAGAATTATAGTACTCCGGTAGATTTATTCGAGAAGCAAACCCTTCCACTGCTACATCAACAGGGGGATGGTGCAGACAAGAAAGACCCTATTCATTTTCATGCAGCCCCTTTTTTTTTAGACATCAGAGAAGCCATGTGAGAGTTCAGGCACAAGATAAAAACCCAAAGGAAGCAGTTGATTCCTGCATCTGAAACTGCCGCTCTTTGTCACGGAACCTAAAAATGAGGACTTCTCTGCCTCTTAACTTTGGAAGTGCTAATAGTCCTGAATGTAGAGCTGTATATTATTTCTCTCTATATATATTTTTTTTAGTTTTGATATATTTAAGTCTTAAGGCAGGTTGTTTTCTCCTGCTGTTGTGGCTATACTGAAAGAATAAGACTCTGCAGTCAGTGCTTTACTAAGGACTAGCTTCACAATGCACAGGAGGGTAGAAGAGACTGCAGCTCCTTCTGCAGTGGTTCGTTTGCCTGTTGCACCTTTCCTTAGTTCCTTAAAAAGATCACAAAAGAAGTTCATCGGGGTAAACGTGAAACCAAATGGCCAGGTGCTCCTGGCTGAGAGTGAAATTTGGCCCTGCAGCTATTTCGGTTGAACTCCACAGCACTACAGTGACGCTTCTATTTGTTCTTTGCTAACTGTTTCCCAGCTCACCGGGCTTTTCCTCCAGAATACGTGGTTAACCCAGAGTACCTGGAGAGAGAACCTCTGAAGGTGTACCCTGGGCGTTCTGGGGTGTATCCTTACCACCCGTTTCCCGTGGGATTTGCCATCAATCAATCAGGCTGCAGGGGAGCACCACCACCGGCAGGGATGTCGCTGCAAAGAGGTTTCCGACACGTTCCCAGCACCTATGGGCCAGGGAGCGCAGCTTCTCTGTCAGTAAGTAGTGGTTTTTTTACTTACCTCTGGAAGGACTGTTGTCTTTGTTTTTAGCTGCCTTCTTGCTGTGAAAGTAACCATGAAGAGTTACCTGCTTATCAGTTACTTCACAGCATCTTGATACATTGCACTGAAGAAACCAGGAGCAAGCAGTGACGTTAATAGCCTGTCCTGAAGCCGGGACATCAAACTCACGCAGTTATGAGGGGCTAGATTTTGTATTTGGGGGCTTACACCTCCTGCTGATGTCGACAGCAGCCTTTTGGGACGATGGCAGCTGGTCACTGACGTGGTCCTAGTGTACCAGCGTAGATGGCACAGAATGTGCACCGGGAAGCCTCTCTTCTTCCGTGTAGGACAGAAGTCATTGGGTGGGAAGGTATCTTGGGTTGGCCAACCCGCCGCAGCCACAGAGAAGGACAGGGAGAAATCTCTTTCGGCTTCCACAGGATACTGATTCAGCACAGTCAGGTGTTTCTGTTTTGGGACATTTAGTTTCTCAAAAAAAGTGGAAAATTGTTGTGGTTAGTGGAAGTTTCAAATGAAAAATGACTAACGGAAAACCCTGTTTTCTATTGAGAAAAACGTTGAGCAGAAAGTTGAGATCGTATTGAGGGGGAACGGACAGGTGTATTTTGTAAGGAGTATGAAAGCTGAGGGTGGCGAGCAAAGTACCCAGCTGAGGGATAGACCAGGGCAAGGCTTAGCCCACACCTTCAAATCACAGAGAAATGGTAAGGAGCAAGATCCTAAACGGCCTGTCAGCTGTAACAGCGTGTGTGGACTCTTTTAGTTAACCTTCAGTGCTGTCAGTCCTGTTCCTTTACGCTGCTGGTATCCACTCTTTGTACTATGGTTGGGCACATTATCAGATTTCCAGCTGCCATAGGCCGTTCTGTCTGCGCTGAGGACAGTTGATCCATTCATGTTAAGATAGAGTGATCCGCCTCAAGAGTACTAGATTTATTATGCTTGCACAGCAAACCTCTGTCTGCGTTGCAGGGGTTCTTGAGAGTAACAGTGGATAGCAGCAGCCTGAGGCCCAGACACGTTACCCTGGTCAGCCGGCTATGGCTACCCGCATAGGTTTGGCGTTCCTTGTTCAGAACATCGCTGTCTGTGGCTTTGAACTTAACTTTTTAATGGCCCTGGGACCGACAGGAAGCTCTCATACAGCTCCGTTGTGCCCTGAGACGTTGGTTGCGCGCCCAGATCCAAGAGAGGAGTGCTCCTATTTCTCTGCAGGAGTTGTGGCATGCTCTGAGAGGTCCTCTGATCACAGAAGCCTAGGTCTGGGGGGAAGCCTGTTGGTGCACACCAGCCAGCCCCTCAGCGTAGGGAGAGCCATTCACTTCACCGGGCTCAGGGGCAAAGCCGTAACTAACAGCCAGGTGCTGGCAAGGAGCATTTTCTCATGTTGCCTCTCTGCTGCTGGAAGACTTCCAGACCTGTTCGGTGGCAAGCGCACCAGGTCAGTGGTAAAGGTGAGCTGCTGGTGGTTCAAACTAAGTGGTCTGATGCGACACCGGAACAGATGATGAGGACTCACAAGATCAGTTTCAGCTGAGACATGGTGTGAGAAGCTGCTGACTCTCAGTTTCTGCTTACTGCCGTATGAACCGGCTGGGCCCTTGCTGCTCTGTGCGTGGATTTGGCAGCACATGGTCACAACATGGACCAAAAAATGGGATGTTTGCAGGTCAAAATCAGTTCTGAAATTGATACTGCAAATGTATGGTGCAGACAGTCTCTGATGCTTTGTGTTATGTGTTTCTGCAGATTCCAGACGGAGGTGGAGATTTCCATCAAGGATATTACACTCCTCTGCCTCAGTTTATTCCGCCAAGTTTCCTGCCAGGGATTCATTATGTTCCGCCTCCCCTTCCACTCAGTGTGTTGGCTGAAACAACCAAGGAAACGCGCGGTAAGGGAGTATGAGCTGAGGCCCAGGCGTGCCATTTTTAACCTGGGTTCAATGCCTAATCTCAGAGGTAGAAGCCTTAAGAAACCAGTTCTAGCTACAGTTCTTTTTACAGTTTACCATGCCCCTGCGATGGAGCCAGGACTGAGATCCTGAAAGTCCCAGGATGGTTTGCCAGGCTGTGCAAGCTCTGGGTTGGGCTGACCGAGGGAAAGCAGCCCAGTATCCTTGGGGTCTCCAGCTCACAAGCACCTCTGTCTCACTCAGAGGTGGGAGGCCCCAGGACTCAGAGCCAATCCAGAATAGGATCTGCTGATGTTCTCAAAATGAAAACATTTTTCTGAATATCCAGCTTGCGGGACATAAAAAAAAAAAAAAAAAAGATTTGGCTCTGTTACAATTTAGACTAAACGTTAAAAAAATGCATACTAACACTTGCCATGAGCAATGTGAAATTTCTCACTCACCTAAAAATCCTGCATTTTAATTGCTGTAAATGAGAGATTGAATCTTCAAAATCCCAGGTTGTTTATATTAAATGTCACAATATTTTAAATTTTTGGCACAGCTAAGTCTTTGTGCCCCTCACTTTGGGTCTCTCTCATGTACGGGATCCACATGTGGCTGTATGTGTAATTAGATTACAACAGTTGTTCATTTGGATGCAGCTAGTTGTGACCACAAGAGGGTAGAACTGCTCAGAGAATTAACCAGGAGCACTGGATGAGTGAATAATCAGTTTTATTTTAAATTATTTTGGAAAATAGAGCTATATAAATACGATTTTATTTCTCTTCTGGGACATGAAAATAAGAACTTGTAAATCTGACTGTTTACCAAATTACAGTCATCACCCGGTGAAAAATCAAGTCTTCTGTATAAGGGGGAGGAGAAAGAGCAGAGTGTAATTGTCTCGTTTGAATTTAAAAAAATAGCGGTTGTGATTAAATATGTGGGACAAGACAACGTGAGGGATGGGGGGGGGGGGAGGGTGTGGCCTGGTTTCTCAAGAAAATAAGGCTGATGTAGTCTCATTTTGCGTTAAGTGTCAGTCCCTCAGTTATTTTCAGCCAAACATATCGGTTGTGATCGCAGGCCCCAGCAGCATCGATCTGCAGGGGAAGCAGATGTCTCCCACAGAAACGTTTGTTTGCAGCAGCAGCGTAGTGTTTGGCTTTGCGCTCATATCCTCACTGACGTGTGTGCGCCTTGGCCGACAACCGAGCGCGTGCCAGTCACCCAGCAGTGGGCACGTGTCTCCAGAGCAGTCGGAGCGTACCTGCTTTGTGTCCAGCTGAAAAGCCAAGGAAAATCAAGCAGGATATGGGGACGATAAGGGGGATATGAAGAATATGGCAGCTTGGAGGGTGTACAGCCATTGTGGAAGTGTGAACTTATTTAAAGGTACCGATAAATGCATCAGGACTTTAAAATAGTGTCTCGGCGATACTGGGATGCTGGAGGTGTTACAATATCTGCTCAGTGTGAAGGGAAGAGGGGAAGCTGAGGGCTGGCCAGCGAAACAGAAGGGGTGTGTGAGGATTAATGGGTTTTGTGGTTGAGTGAGGACAGGAGATCTGGGGATACTGCAGCAGTAGAGGATATATAGGGAGCTGCAGGTATGCTGCTGGGGGGAGTGGGACATGGAAGGAACTGGGGGTAGGGGACGAACATAGAGCACATGGAGGGAAGTGGAGGTATGGCACGAGAGAAACAGAAGATCCAGCCCTATACTGGTAAGAGTGAAGTCTTACTGGCCAAACAATCATGAAAATAGGCAACTGGACAGAAAGAGGTCATCAGAGCGCCCCCAGCAGAGCAGAATGCCATCTGGTGACCTCAGCCCCTATCACACACAGGGAGAATCACCACCCAGGCAGGCACAAAGGCCTAGGAGACAGCGCGTCATAGGTCCCACTGCTCAGAGAACAACCTCGTTCTCCTGGTACGAGGGAGAAAGTGCAAAATAATTCCTCAACGTTGTATTTTTGCTTCAGGATACGTAGGAATTGGCTAATTGTGACCCATTGTGGGGGGGATATTTTCTGCAGCAGGTTTTATACAAAATAGCATTCCAGTGGAAGATACAGATGTAGAAAAGCTACAGTGAAACTAATAAATCTTTGATTCTGGTTTTCAAGATGCATCTTGAAAGAAGAGATAAGGTGTAACATTCAGTGCATAACGCCATCATATCATGTCTTTCTTTCCTAAGAAGGGAACTGATTCAAACCTGCCATTAGACATGGGAACATCTTTTCTCCAGAGAGACCTCAAATTGAGGTGAAATGGGCTCACTGGCAAAACAGTTGCGGGAAAATGGTTATTAAAAACTAGTAGGGGAGAACTGGTGGGTAGAAATGTCCATTATCTCTGCCTTTGAAGGGAATCTGGGATGAAGACAGGTTTAAAACAAAACAAACAAACAAACAAAAAAAAACCCAAGTCCTATCTGAAAAAGATTTCCCAAGGCTAGAAGCAGCTGCCAGACAGGTTTGAGTCAATAGTTGACTTGTAACTCAATGATTGAGGTCAGTTAGGATTACAGTGGTGATTTGGAGTATAGGCTATGTGGTTATACAATTTCATGCCATAGTCCCTTGTAGTGATACGGAGATTTTACAAAATACATGCAAGGTATGTCCAGTACCGCCACCAGTATAGCTTCTGAGGATAGAGTCTGATTACAGGTTGCTGGCTTTCTAAAAGAACAAGCCACAGAAAAACAAATAAAAACTGCCAGTCTCCACGTGAGGAAGCGAGGGAGCTTCACATGCAAACTGGCAAGTAAAATCTTTATAAAATAAAAGTCTCCAGCTGGATTTGAAGAAGCGATTATTCAGTCAATCAGGGCCTTTGTGAATTCGCAGGAGCGTTCAAAAAGCGTTGCATAGCTTCTCTACAGTTAAGTGGGCAAAACAGTTTGCCTCATACTTGTGTTCCAGTGCAGCTTTTCACCGCAAACGTTTGCCATCTTGAAGCACTTTTGCTGCATTTTTTTAAGCAGGGCTGAAGCCATCATCTGCTCTCTGAAGCGCAGCCTCTCTGGAGAACCGTGGCTCTTGATGTCAAGCATCTTTGAATTAACTGAATTGAAAAACTGGATTTACAAAAGTCATTTCGCGTTGATTGTTTGTCTCTGGAAATATTGCGATTAATACTGTGTGTAACGTAAGCTGAAATAAAGGTTTGGGGAGGGGTGTTGTTTGTTTGTTTTTAACTCTGACTGTTTTCTGTTCTTCATTGTTTTTTCAGCTTCAGCAGCTGACAGCCAGGATTCAGGGATGGTGTGTGAACCTGGCCAACCATCTTCCCCAGAAGAAACGAGCAGAGACCAAACCGTACATTCTAAACATTAAATGGCCTGGAGAAGAGCTGAGTAGCAGGCAGCACTGTTTTCACTGCTGAGGAGAGTATTGGTTAATATGGGTGTAGAGTGACACTTAATTGTTGCGCAGCCACAGGAGCTAGAAAGGGATTGGTTCCCTGCCTCACTTTATGATCATGTGAGAGCTATCAGCATCACAGCTCTACCCCCTTAGCAGTGTGAAGCGCTTGTTCCTAAGAGAGGTTTTCCAGAGCCACCATAAATCCTTTCCTCCTTAAGCAGGAGGAAGCAGCAGAGCACTATGACTCTAAATGCTGGTTCCTCTCCTGAGGCTAGTTGGCTGCCTCTTTGCCACGCAGGCTCTGTGCAGCCTTCTTGTGCTCACAGCAGCGGTCAAAAATGTGTTGTTTGTGTATCAATTTGCTGTAAAGGAAACCTGGTTCTGAGTAAGTTCTGAGTTAAGTGATGTAGGGCCTGAAGACTGAGTGAGAGAGGATGGGAAGACAGTCTGGGTTGCTGATATACAAGACTGATCAGGAACGTGAGTCCCTGGCGTTCATCGGGCCGAGGCGGTAGCAGACGTTTGGTACGCTTGTCAAGGAGGGCTTGAGAGGATGCTGAAATCCAGTACCTCCTCATTGTTTTCCAGGTGAACTGCCTGTAGGGCGCCTTCCCCGCAGGTAGGGGACAGACTGATTTGGAATCACCTCTTGTCACGCAGGCCTCAGGATTCTGAGTGCCTTTGATGGTTTATACATTATTTCTATGTTGTTTAACTCAGTACAGCTGAAGAAAGCGGCACCATTGATTCTAGAGGGCTCAGGTAGGCAGCTTAATAGGTAGGGATTGGAAGTGCACTGTGGCCTATCAGAGGTGTGGGGGAGTGGCGAGGAAGCTAGGGCAACACACCATTTAGAACAGTAATTAGCCAAACCCATACATGCTGTAATTTTCAATGATAATGTTTGGATAAAAATGGAAGGTGCATTCCTCTACTGTTTTGCTGCAAGGAACTGGTTTTGTATTAAGTGGATCAGTTGTTAATGTTTGAATACTTTGAGGAGGACTTTTGTATAATTAAAAAGATACATTAAATTGTTGGTATGGTTGTGATGATTTGAGGCTTGCATATCTACACATAAGTTTTCTAGGCAAATTTCAAATGCTCCCCTGAACAGCTGCGTGTAACAAGCCTGCCTGAACTGAGATTTAGGCTTCAGTATTTTTCTTCTACACCTTTTGACAGGTGCTGTAGAGGTGAGAACTAACAAAATAAATATTCTTCTTTTCTCCTACTTGCACTAATAATCCCCTGCTCAATGCGAGATGTAAAGAGATTATATTAAGCTGAAAAAACAGGATTTTTTTAAGGTAGTAGATGATCTGCTGGAATGTTTCCCCTCTGGGATGGCTTGTAGCACACAGCCAGGGTTTTTTGGGGGGCAGTGAGTGCAAGTGGCACGCTTACAATTGCCAATAGGAGGCACATGTACCTCCTGAAAAACACATGTACCTGTAGTAAATAATCGGATGTACCACTTGTTAGATACTAGATTTACAACAGATCGCAGCTCCCAGGAGTGTCCAGACCTCCTCGCAGAAACTGCTGCGTGCTTGGGAAAATCTGAATACTTTTTGAAGGTGTCTGAACGGGGGCAAAGCTATTTTCAAAATAAAATCATCTACGGGTAGAAATACCAGCAGCACCCACAAAGCAGGCTCCTCTCTGGATGGAGTTTTTTAATATATAATATAATGATTAAAGGAAACGGTAATGTACAAGTTTGAACAGTTGAATAGTCTCTTTCCCAGATATTTTTCCAAAGTCACATTCAGTGTTGCATTACGCTCCTTAAATCTCCGAAGCAAGATGGACCCCAGCCCATTTCACTGACTGTAAAGCACAGTCATTGCAGCTATACCGCGTGTACTGTACTGTTTTCTCCCTGTTTTGCTGTGCCAGTGTCTGCTTCCAGATTGCCAAGCCAGACTCCTGGCCGCCCTCTTCCTCCATCTTTTGGAGCTATCTCTTAGTGAACCAAAGGCTTTGCTTTGGCTGTTTGAATTATGATGTGGCACTCCAGCAGGATTTCTTTCACTGCATTGCTGCAGACCAGCGTTCATCTGACGAGGGATGCAGTGGATTTAAAGGAGGGAGAGGAAAAGGCAACTAAACTGAACAAGCAAATGGAGCAGCTGCTTGAAGAGGAGAGTCTGCAAAAACTAGTCTCTTCGGTTTGGAGAGGATAAGATTGAGGGTGGGAAGTCTGAGTTTTACAACGTTGTGAAGGCTGTGTCAAAGTAAATGCAAAACTATTACTTAAAAAACCATGTGATACTAGAGCTGTTTCCATACACGTGAAGGGCAAGAAGGTGACTGGGAGCAGAGCAAATCATGCCTGACCAACCTGATTGCTTTCTATGATGAAACGACTGGCTCTGCGGATGAGGTGACAGCAGTAGATGTCATCTGCCTTGACTTTAGCAAGGCTTTTGAGGTGGTCTTCCATGGTGCCATTCAGCCAGACTGGGGTATGGACTGGATGGCTGGACTACAAGGTGGGTGAAAACCTGGCTGGACTGTAGGGCTCAAAGAACGGTAGTTGTCAGCAGTCTAAAGCCTAGTAACCGGTGGGCAGTTACAGCTGGCTTTCCTAGGGGATCGATATTGGGACCAATAGATACTGTTTAATATGCATAATTGTTGCTTGGTGTCATCTGACTAAACATTCCAGATTTTTACATTTTGGGAAATTTGTCCCAATGTTCTTTTGTGCCTGTCTCTGTATGGAAACATGAAGGTATTGGTAGAGAGTTAAAGTGAGTAACTCCCCAGCTGACAGGGAAGATTATCTTGATGTGATACGTCTTCATTCTTCCATTTTATGCTCAGCTTGTCCTTTTTAACCAAGGAAAAAATGTTCCTTTACAAGTGGTATTTTCATACTGTGCGCCTAAAGACTTGCAAGCCAATAATTTTAATTCCAGACTTAATGCCAACCAATGTTTCCAGTAATTAAGCTCTGTGATCTCTTCCGACTCCATTTATTTAAATAAATTACTTAGGGATAATGAAATCAGTTTGGATTGAAATGGAATGATTTGGATTAGACAAGTCACTCGGGGGTTCTTCCAACCTAAATCATCCCAGAATTTTATTTTATTCTATTAAGGCTGAAGCCAAATATGCTTTGGTCAAATTCATAAAACTTGGGGACAAAAAGCAAAGTTAGTTATGATGCCCGCTCCTGAAATCTTTCAGCGTGCAACCTACTGCTGACTGCTGTAGGAATTCGGCATGTAGCATTTACATCATCATCATCGTCATCTGATTTCTTAGGATTGACTCCTGTGCTGAATAGATTTGAGTTTCTGAAGATGTGGTCCCTCACCCTGGACACTTCTTTCAGTCCTCTGTCCTCACTGCAAGCATCTGGGTCATCAAAGAACAAGCACTGTTTATACACTGAAGGGGAAAACCTAAAATTAGCAGCCAGTTCTTTAAAGCTTGCTCACACCGCTAATTTCATTACTTTCAATGGAATTATTTGTAAGGCTACAGAGTTGACATGTTAGTTAGGTATGCAAGTTTAGGCTCCAAGTTTTATACAGAGGTGTCTGTGACACTGTCCAAAACCTCAGATTATTGTAGATTTGCATTTTCTGCAGGAGCTTTGGAAAAAGGAAAACAAACCCAAGGGATTCTAGAAGGATCACGTAATATGTCCATTCTGCGAGCATATGTGAGACTCATTTGTCATTGCCCTAGAGCAAACTGCAAGATGTTAACATTCTGTGGTATCGGCTTCTACATCTGGACTGAAGCAGGTTTTCGTATGACAGTAATTATAATACTAACTCTCACTAGGTTTTTTTCTTTTCTTCTTGGAATTAGATGTGCCCAATTGGAAACCTTTGAATCCGCAGCAAGACTATAGCTGTTTTTTCCACATTAATGAGTAATTAATTTTGAACAGCAATCCCAAGAAATATTTAATTGCCTACCAATAAATTCAGTTTGCTGCAAACAAAATTCTCCCTCCCCTTAAAAAAATAATTTTCATGACAGAAAAATTATGATGTGAAACATACCTCCTTTGGAACACTGGAAACTTTAATTAAATCATTCTTATGGGCAAATAGGTCTGGTTTTCCTATTTTTGCCCAATATTTTACTACTGCAACATTAGCGTTAGTCACAGAGCATCCGTTCTTGCCAAAATGTAAGAGAGGAATCCAAATGTAAAGAAAGACCTTGTGGAATCTATTCCTGAAATCAGAGTGTCGCTGCATATTTTGTTGCAGCCCAGGCCACGGCGAGAGCACCAGGCTCCCTCGCAGGTGACCAGGCAGTGATGTGCCCGTTCACCCCACCCACGCATTTTACTTGTATGCGTATCATCAGGGGTCTCTCTTGTCAGACCTGAGCAAGGCTTGCAGACACTAGGCTAGAACACTTTGGAAAAAAGGCAACAGGCTTATTGTACTAGTTTACTTTTATTTGCAACGTGTAACATTTTCCTCTTGTTTTACCTTGTTGTCCCTTCCCACTGGCTCTTCAGATATTGGCCGCCTCAGCTGTGCAACAGGAATGGTGACCTTGCTACTGACTTCGTAGGGATCAGGCTCTAATTATACATCAGTTCAGATCTCACACTGCTTTCACATTTAATTCATGCAACTGTCTTTCTTTAGCGGAGGCATTTCTGGTTTCATTTACTAATTACTTTCAGGGTTTTATAGTTCTAATGGCCCAATCTACTCAAAGGTGTCCAGGCTACATAAGCTAGGGCAAATCCAAAACATTTATTTTTACAAAATGTGGTTTAAATAACAACCACGTGCAGAGTTAACTGCGAGAACCTTTCCTATTTTTTCTGTTTCCCGTTAAGAAATGCGTTCTTTTGATCAAGGTGCGAATGGACTGCTTTTTATATTCTTCCATAGTAAATATACACTTATATTCAAAGAATTCAAAAGTCTCATGTACCTGCAGAAAATTGTTTTTTTGACATTCTCTTCCTCATTTACTTTCTCACATTGCCAAATGGTTCTTATATGGGATTTATTACATATTCTAGCTTAGCCATGGCTTCAGCGAAGTTTCTACCACTTTGGAGAGCGGAGGCAATATAGAAACGGTTCACTTTAAGACATAAAGTTACATTAAAGAAGCTCAGAAAACCACCTTTCTAGCCCAAATCTTAATACTAGCATTTGTAAATATGAAATCCATGGCTAAGCTTGTAGCTTTTCACCTTTCCCTGATCCTTCACCTGTGCCTCACCCGGGCATGTAGTAAGCCCCCTACTCCCTTTAACTAAGTACTACGTGTGACCTTGCCCGATTCCTCGGCTTGCTTTGTTTCGTTCCTGCTTTCAGAGAGATTTCTGCGGAAGACCAGTTGCCTATAACGTTCACTCGGCACCAGAAGGCTTTCACAGCTCCTCATTGGCATCTTCTAGCAAGATCCCGTTTCAGTATTTTAAGTATTTCATCTCAAGTTTGGATTTTCTGGCAGACGGATACCAGTAGGCGTAGCGCTCGTTCCCCTCAGCAGCAGGAGCCCAGGAAGCTGCTTTCTCCTGCGGCATCAGCGCAACTTGGGAACGGTTTGT